TGATATACTGTACAAGAAAAATGATCTCTTTTACGTGGCGCAGTATAGGCTAAGAATAAAGCGTCTGCATGATGCTGCAAAAGCACAAATGTCAGGAACAGAAAAGCATGCCGTTTTCAAATAAATTCACATCTTAAAATTAATGGCCACCACGAATAATCTACTGCTTCGCGGGTATTTAGTAAACCTAATGCACATATAAGACTGTTTAACCAAATAAAACGAGCATAGCCTGACTCTGACTTAGCTTTAAAAACGTTTACATGTATGCAGTAGGCTTTACAAAAGCGTATTTATTTGTTTATTTGTTTCTGGCAGAAAAAAAGCATCGTTTGTGTGTTTGTTTGTTTGTGAACACCTGCTTTTAGAAAGAAAAAAAAGTGTCAGGCTTGGTTCGCTGTCTGCTCGGGTGTTTCCGCAGGTTTTGTCCACTAGGGGCGTCAAACTCTTGTAAATCGCTCAGTTAGTCGCTGTGAAGTTGGATTAAAGTGTAAAAGTGGCTCGTTCTTTGGCTCATTTATATCACCAGCCGTCCGCCGACTCGCCAGTCAAATGTAAGTGTAAATATGTGGATGTAATTTATTTATTTATTAGCTAAATGTCTTATCATTTAGCCTGTTAGTTATCAATTATGCTTTATTGGAAAGCAGCTTGCTCCTAATAAACTTCTGAATAAAGGCTATATTGAAGACGCATACGTTCACACACATACACACAAAAACGTTTGCTTAAAATGCAATTCAGCACATCTTCAGTCTCAATATAGAAGTAATTGTTTTTTTTATGCGCTGCTAATTATTTAGGCTATCTAAATGATTTATTTATTTATTTTAATTATTGGAAAAGTGAAATTCTTTAGTTTGCAACTCAAATTGCATGCGTTCGGGCTACTTCTGACGCTGTTTGCAACCATCAATGAGCTGTATTTTATTTAAGGACACAACAGCCTGCATATTCAGCATTAAATGCTGTCTAAATAAGGCATTTAAATGTTGAGTAGCAATAAAGAATAGAAATGTTGATCTGTCACTATTAGCAGATCTAAACTAAAGATCTAAAATGTTCTGATTTTTTCCTAGTCGTGTCTGTTATATATTGATAACCTCCTATCCTAATAGATGATGTATTCTGTTCTCAACTTTCTTCTGGAAAGCAGAGCACAAGCCTTTCGCAACCGCCCATTACCCGACTACCTGTTTGTCCCAAGTGGAGGATGAAGAGGCAACAAGAACACACTTTCTGTCTGTCAGTCTGTCTCTGTCTGACTGTCTTTCCAGTCTCGCACAAACACACACTAATCAAATGAGCTGATAATATCAAACGTGCCTTTTTTTCCCAAAGTCTCCTGAAGTGTTCCAAACATTTATAGCTACTAAAACATAAATAAAATACGCTCAATCACGCTCACAAATGCAGATATGAGTTTCAATATCATACTTATCTTAAAGTCCACGGCTCAGTCTCCTATTTCCTTATTATAAAAAATAAAAATATTCAGACAGCGTCCATTCCCAGATTCTCAGGCCTGGGACATTCACCGACATACGGTCCACAGCGTCTCCCCTTGACAACTGCTCTATGAAACATCTCTGAGCTGATTTTATTTCTCTTATTCATTCCTAAAATTCGTAGGATGGGAATCTCATTAGGCCAAATAAGCGTGCATCAACACTTTTTTCCGCTGTCCATAAGCAAGAGGATCACTTAATAGATCATTAACCACCAATATGCTGCTGACATGAGAGTTTTGTGCATCTCCTCTCCATTAGAGAGAGAGAAAAACCGTGCAGTAGCGGCGAGTGTGAGGGAATCAGAGCGCATGACAGCGCGGGCCCGGTGCCGCGTGATGGGCTGCGGGTGTACCGACAGACCGAACATGTTTCCGCGACTGATTTACGATCTCTGGAGTGACGCGGAGTCATCTGACTTCAGGGCTCTAATGCATTATTAAACGCATTGGCATTGTAGTTGACGTGGAGATGCGATGCAGAGTCGTATTTGATTGTGATATGGGTGAGTAAAATTCGCAATGACGGAAAATATATAGCTTTTATGGTAGTTAAAATGAATGCAGTTAATAGCAGTCGTATTAAAGTTTAATTTTTTTGAGTATCGCTTGAATGGCCTGAAGTTTTATTTAGTTAAACAGCAAGACGTATTGAGTCGCTTTTGTTGTCAGGAGAATTTCTGTAGCTGATTCTTAAGGTTAACTCTTGATGTCTCATCAAAAAGGCGATATAATAATTACATATTATAAAAAAGAGATCATAAAAATTAATCTTGCGTTTAGAGACGGTGATACTTTGGAGTGAAAGAATTGCTGTATTTAATCAGGTACAATAAAAGTAAGGTAAATAAAAAAGAAATAAGTGGACTTTGAAAAATGAATAAGAGCATTATACTGCGGTAATATTAATTACATTTTGTTAATTAAAATAGCTTATATCTTGTTTAAATTAATAAATCCTACTTGATATTGTGTGATATTAGTGACTTGAGCAAAACAAATATTCAAATGGCTTAAAACGCAAAGCTGCAATCAGGCCCGCTTTGACAAATGCAGAAGAAGAAAAAAAAAACACTCGTTAACTTAACGCATCGTGCATCGTTTACGCAACTCTAAAGTTAAAGGCTCTAGTATTTATTTACAGGTAAACTCACTTATTTTACATTCATATCGCCCTACATAACAGTAGAGCAGCAGCTGCGCTGGAGATGAGCGCTCAGGTGAGCGCGCAGTGAGCAGATGTGCCACATGAGGGCAGCGTTGGGCGAGTTTTCGTGAATCAAGCGTCTCCAGGAGCGCAATACCAGTCCCTAAACTTAACCCGTCCTACTGAAAATCCAAAAGTCAATAAACATCACAACAACACATCAAAATCACGAGTAACGCGCGTTCTCATCCATGTAAAACGTGGTTATTATTAATGCATATTTATGCGTTCTTAACAATCATGACTTTGAATTTCTCCCTGATCTTTCATTATTTATTTTTTATGTCTACGCTAACAAAATCTTTTGATATGGTATTAACTTACATATTTATTTCGTTGAGCAGTTTTGTCGATGGATAAAGATTTACAGAGATTTAAAAGACATGTTTTGAAGTAGGCTATCGCGCAAATGAGGGTTGATGTAACAACCTGCTGCTGCATGTAACAGACCGATATCTATTTATATTAAAACTCATACGTCATATAGAGGGTTTGTATTCATTTTAAAGCTCTACTAAAGTTATGCTTTGGAGTCTTAAACCTATATGTTTTGTTTTACAACTCACAAACAAAGGGAACAGATTTTAATGCAAGCGTATAAATGGAACAAAACTTTTTCTCTCTCTCTCTCTAAAAGAAACGTCTTGATTAAAATGTGCCCAATTAATGTACGCGTTTGACTTTTTTCAACAGTACAGACAAACGGCTCCTCGTTAGGCGCGCACATCCAATCAGTCAATACACGAAATACCACTCTCGCTTTCTTCATCCCGTCAGCTGACAGCACACAAACAACCATCATTATGCTAATTCTACAAATCTGACTGGTCGCCAGCCCCTTCTGACGTCACGCGCGCGCAGGCTATAACAGCGGAGAGCGGTCTGGCGTCCTGCTACAGTCTGAATACTCAGGAGTGAGTGTGAGCTCAAATTCTCTGCGGTGCAGAGCTGGAAAAACACAGCACCCTTCCACCCCAACGCTGCTTCACTGGCTTAAGGACATATTTTGGAGTATCCGGGATCGGGACGGGAGCCCTCCTCCGGTACTCATTTTTATCTTTTATTTATGTTTTGAGTTGAAGTGCTGCGACGGGACATTGAGCGCGCGAGAGACTTGACTTTCTCCAGCGCCGCGAGTAGACTCCAAAGACTGCAGCTGTCGAGCTCTGCGCGTCCATATGAGGCAGATGTCTTTCGCGGTGCATTAGTCCTGAAAGTTTTTGGCTTTCTGTTGTTCGAGCACAATCGAGTGACACTGTATGCTCCAGCGCTCGAGCGCGCCGCGGTCGGAGACCCATCAAGAACATTGCATGCGCAAAGAGAGGGGAGAAAAAACGCCAAAGTCTGGTTTTCCCAACACTTTGCTGAAGAACAGGGGCACGATGAGCGCCGATCTCGCCATGGGGCCCGAGCTGCCCACCAGCCCGCTGGCGTTGGAATATGTCAATGACTTTGATTTAATGAAATTCGAGGTAAAGAAAGAGGCCATGGCGGCGCACGACCGCGCCAATATACGGCAGTGCAACCGCCTCCAGCCGCAGGGCTCCGTGTCCTCCACTCCTATCAGCACCCCGTGCAGCTCCGTGCCGTCCTCCCCGAGCTTCAGCCCCACAGAACAGAAGAACCACCTGGAGGAGCTGTACTGGATGCCCAGCGGCGCGTACCCGCAGCAGATCGACCCGCAGACGTTAAGCCTCACGCCCGAAGACGCGGTGGAGGCTCTGATCGGTGCCACGGCCCACGGGCACCCGCCGCCCCCTCACGTGCAGCAGCAGCTGCAAGCTGGAGCGTTTGATGGATACAGGGGCGCGCATCACCACCACGGCCACGCGCAGCAACAGCAGCAGCAGCAGCCGCAGCACCATCACCATCAACACCAGTACGGCGCGATCCCCCATCACCCCGACGACCTGTCGGGTCACCCCGGCGCTCACGGCCACCACCCCCACCATCACCACCACCACCACCACAGCCAGGATCCCGACAGCCCTTCTCCTACCTCGCCCGAGCAGCTCCACCACCGCCACCACCACCATCACCACCCGCACGGCCACCCGGGTCAGCAGGGTCACCACGGCGTGGGGGGCGGCCTGAACGTGGAGGACCGCTTCTCCGACGACCAGCTTGTGACCATGTCCGTACGGGAGCTCAACCGACACCTGCGGGGCTTCACCAAGGACGAGGTGATCCGCCTGAAGCAGAAGCGCCGGACCCTGAAGAACCGGGGCTACGCGCAGTCATGCCGCTTCAAGCGCGTGCAGCAGAAGCACCTGCTGGAGAACGAGAAGACGCAGCTCATCAACCAGGTGGAGCAGCTCAAGCAGGAGATCAACCGGCTGGCCCGAGAGAGAGACGCCTACAAACTCAAATGCGAGAAACTGACCGGAGCGAACGGGTTCCGCGAGGCAGGATCCACGAGCGACAACCCGTCCTCCCCAGAGTTCTTCATGTGAGTGCGTGTATGCAGTACAGTGTGTCTGCTTCTTATGCCTGAGAGACAGCTCCCAGTACTCGTATTAGAAGAGAATAATCCACAAGAAATAATAACGATAATAATAATCTCGTATGTAATCATCGCCACAGAACCCTGGCAACTAAAACGCGAAGAACACGGTAGAATGTTTTCTGGGAATTAGATTAGTTGCTTGTAGTACTACCCCTCGTTTCGTAGAAAACAGACAGAGAGAAAAGCGAAGAAGAACTGGCTTTTGTATTTAGATAAGACCTGCTTTGCGTCTGGTATGGTGAGGAAAAAGAACAAAAGACGCCAAACTGTGTTTGCGCTGAGCGGGAGAGAGAAACTTTGGACTTTTGTTTCTTTTCCTACTCGGCCAGAAAAGTTGAGAGCACCACAATATGCAAAACTTCCCTTAACTTCTCCCGTTAAAGCCGCCTGAGAGAGAGAGAGGCGACAGGGGGAACTTTATGCAACATCTCATTGGTTTATTGCCTGCTTGGTTATATATAGATCTATATATATATATTAAAAAGAAAAGGAAAAACGACAAAAACAAACACATAAATCTGCATTAAGATATTAATCCTGCATGCTGGACATGTATGGTAATAATTTCTATTTTATACACTCTTTCTTTCTTTATTTTCTTCTTTCCTTCCTTCTGTTCATTATGTATCATAAAGAGCATGTTTTTGATCTTTAGCTCTTTTTTGGGGATATGAGACTGGCTCTCCGGTCATGTATGGGTTCATCATTTGGACTTGTAAATATGCAACAGCAAACCTACAAACCGACATCGAAGAGCTGATTGTTTTACAACTTTTGTCGTTTGTTTCATGTTTCGGGAATAGATTTCCAATAATGGGCATTTTGCAGTTGCATTAAAAGTAAGCAAACTTTGTAAAAGAAGCGCACTTTTTTGGGGGGCGGGGGGATAATGATTTTTTTCTGGTATTGGCAGTTTTCATTTCGACTTTTTGATTGTTTTTTGATTTTGTTTTAGCAGAAGCCGCCTTTAGAGAAGACATGCCGCACACATGCATTCATTCATTCATGCACGCCTTTCATTTTTGGTGCTCATAGTCTCATGTCTAGATGTAGCAAGACACAAGAGAGTGTGTGTGATTTTTTTCTCTCCCTCTTTCGTGCAGGCTGTTGCATAATCTATTGCTATTCTATAATATAAGCAATACTTCTAAGTCGTATGTTTTTGATGGATAGGATTTCCACGAACGGGCACACTTTCATTAATTTTTTTTTAGCTATACGAGCTGCCAGTTTTATAAACCAACATTTCAAAATGTAGTTATTATAATCCAGCTCGAGGGTGTAGGCTTCCTAAATCAGGGGTTTGTGTATTATTGCCTAACATGAAAACTACGCATGTTTTTCAATGGAGAGTTTCAATGATCAATGTTAAGTGTTTTCCTTTATTTTTTTTTCTGCCGGTCAGTAAAAAATAAGGGATTCAGGTTCTGCATAATCTCAAAATGAAAAGTATATGTCTCATGTTATTGTTCTGTTCTTGGTTTGTTTTATTATTATGTCGAGATTCTGGTTCTGCTGGCCAGATGCATAGTTTTTATTTTAATGATTAAATTAACAGTCAGATCATATTGAATAAGCATGGTGCTTGCATCTAAGAAATGTTGTTAAAAAGTCATGCATTTAACAATCTTTTTGGTTTATTACTGATTCAACTGTGTTGAAATCAAATGTAAACTGCAGCAGCGGGTTGTTGTTTTTGTTTGTTAATTTCATGTATTATGAGGGGATCAATTTTCAAATCTGTTTATATAAATGGACAAAAAACTAAGAATAGAGTTCAATTCGGACTATTCCATTCAGGCTGGTTTCTGTTTCGTTTTTGCTGTTTTTTGGAAAGAAATGGTTTCCTATTTTGCTTATTAAAGTCAGTGAAATGGCACTAATTTCGAGATCACTCATTTTATTTATGCGTCAATTTCTGTGTCTGAGTTACGCAACACTTGCTGTACGCCGCATTGTTATCGCGCACAACTGGAATCCAATTAGCCTTCATCAATCGGTTTATTGAAAAATTCAATCGAGAAAACGATATTTCTGCAAGCTTGTTTGAGAGGGGGTTTTCCTGCTGAACTTACACGACTCGCATGCAAGAAAACTTGCGCTTTTACGCCTACTAATACTAACGGGTAGCTGGATTTGAGGACTAAACAACGTTTATCTAGAAGTAGGTTTACATATAGGCCATTCAATGATTAAGTGAAACATATGTAGCCTATATATTCTTTTCTCCAAATTGTAAAATGCGTTTTAGAGTGTTATTCAAATACGCAGCGTTTTATAGTCATTTTTACGAGACAAACAGAAAGAAAAGGAAGAAAGCTATAAAGGCAGAAGCTGTGTGAAGACTTCCTTTCTTTCTTTCTCTCTGGGAGTGTGTTCAGGCCTTCGCTTGTGTTGCGACCTGCAGGATTTGCAGCGCCTTGCGTGCTGATCGAGCAGAAATCCAGAGCGCACGTGCGCTCGGTAAAATGAGATCTTTGACCTTGCGCTCAAAGCCCAGACTGTGGGAACAGGACAGTTAACCCTTCCGCCACTCAACACAACAAACAATTTCATACCGCAAACTAATCTGAATATTTTAAGAATCTTAATAAATACCTTAACAATATTCATAGGTCAAAGACGAAAAGTTGTAATACAGTTTTGACTTTTTTAAATCACAAACTAAAATGCTCTCCTGTTTAAAATAGCTTTCTCTAAGCAAAATGATAAATAAGATGCATATTTAGCATGATTTACAGAAGACAACCACAATAATTTAATTGGGTGTAAAAATGGTTTGATTTAAAAACTTTAAAACAAGACTACAAGACAAAAACTAAACTAAAATGATTAATGGTAATCGTATATCTTTATATTTCCCCACTACATATGTTTTAAATCTTCTGACATCAAGAAGTTATGAAGTAACTGATAATAGATTCAGACTTAGTACACCTTAAAAAAAAAAATTGGGTTCCACACAATCAATTTTGAGACAACATGAAGGAATTAAGTTCACTTATTAACTTGTACAAATGTAAGTCGGTTGAACATAAATCAATTAAGTTTTCCCAAAAAACTGAGTAATTGTGTTTCAGCTCATTTTAAATAAGAAATCTGAACAAACAGCAAACGTCATGCTTTTGAGTGTCTGATCATTCTGCTCTGATATATTGTTTAATAAGCACATATTAGAAAAAAAACTGCAGCTTCATTTTTCTCAAAAATTTGTTCCGCTGAATGATGACGGATTATTATTTCATCAACATTTTGGCACAAAACTTGTCGCATTTGTATTTAAAGCAAGTAGACTCTCATATTTAACATGCTTTATATAAATCAAATTTATGCATTTAGAAAGCACTGCTTTTAACTCTTGCATATAAAATCTAGTCTTAGGTGTTATTAGGTGTGGTATCACATACAAAATTGTCAAGTTTTAATGTCATATTAATTATTGAAGTACAGTACAGTACTGCATATAGGCCGGTGTGTGCACTGGGGCAAAGATTAATCATATCCAAACTAAAAGTTCCTCTTGACATAGTATATATTATAAATATATTTGTTTTATGTATATGTGATACACAAAAATACACAGAAACGACACCATATGTTGCAATTTTGCTACATAATTTTTAAATGTACATATAGATTGTATCATATGCATGTATATTTTACATCTAAATATGCACATTTCCTCATATAGATGCATGTGTGTGTATTTATATACATAATAAACATACACAGTACACATGTCAAAATAAACATTTTATTTTGGATGCGATTAATCTCGATTGACTTTTGCCCAGCACTACTACATGTCACATTTTACACTATACCGAATATTTCTCATCATGCTTTTTAAAATCAATTCCCTTATTTCTATTTTCGCCTCTAACGGAAGAGATTACTGTTCATTGTTGTCTCCTTATCGATGTACTTTTGTTATCCAATGCACATTTGCTCTCACAGAATATATATATATATATATATATATATATATATATATATATATATATATATATAGCATAATTTTGTTATAATACGACAAAATTCACACAAAATATTTCATTGCAGTCCTAAGCTGTATATGTAAAAAAAAAATCACTGCTATGGTAAACAAGAATTTGTGCAACTCAAAAGCCTCTGTTGTTATTATATTATTATTTAATCAGGGTTGAAATAAAAAGTTGCACACCTAAAAGTGAACTTTCTCGAAAAAAGATTCAAGCAAATTCTGGAGGAAGTCAATAATATTGAACAAAAATGCACCATAAATCACAATCGATTTGCGTTAGGACAACATGAAGGAATTAAGAGTTGACTTATTAGTTTTTACAATTAAGTTGTGCCAAAAAAAAATCCCTTATGAATTGTGTTCTTTAGGCTGAATCATTAGGCTGAATAAACTGAGTACACGGTAAAAAATGCTGGGTTTTTACACAATTCCTTCATGTTGTCTCAACACAAATCAGTTAAGTTAACTTATTGTTTTTTTTTTTTCACTTTAGGTGGATTGAACATAAAACAATTGAGTTGTCCCCCCAAAAAAACATTAAGAATTGTATTGTTCAACTCAATTTAAATAAGTAGTTTGAACAAGCAGCAAAAGTTGTAATTTTAGTGTTGTTTAATAAAATACAGCTAATATAAATTCAAAAGAACATCATCTAAGGCAGGGGTGTCCAAACCTGGTCCTGGAGGGCCAGTGTCCTGCAGAGTTTAGCTCCAACTTCCTTCAGCACACCTCCCTGAAAGTTAAAGTACACCTAGAAAGAGCTTGATTAGCTGGTTCAGGTGTGTTTAATTGGGGTTGGAGCTAAAATATGCAGGACACCGGCCCTCCAGGACCAAGTTTGGACACCCCTGATGGTGTCATTTTACAAGAGGCTGTTTTAGTGAATCCATATTTAATAAATAATCTTTGTTCTCCATGACTTGTCAAGACTTTTTTGTTTTTCGATAATTTTGGGTGTGGTTCTCAAAGTGGGGTCGCGGGACAGTGACAAGGGGTCGCCTGGTGATTTCCAAAGCTCAAATAAATGTTATCAAACTATTAGAATTACCATATCTTATTCATAACCCACAGGAGATAGATACCAGTTGCGTTAAAGAAACAACAACAACATACAAATAAAAATCAGCCATCAGCCTTTAATTTTTATATTAAAATGTAAATCAATTATTAAATGACTATAAAAAGACATTATATGGTTAATAGACTGTTGCATTTTTGTGTTGTCAATGTGCTCATGTTTATATTTGCCTAGTTGTGTGTGCAACGTATAACCGCCTTGAAAAATGGGGCTTGCAAGTCACTGACAATGTTATTTTGGGGGTCGCGGGCTGAAAAGTTTGGGAACCCCTGCTTTAGAGGACGACAGAACGTAACAATTTTATAATGCTTCCAAAAAAAGGTAAATATTTATCATAGTAATGTAAACATTTTGGAGACAAAAACATGATCTGACATTGCGATATTTAATTTTTCTGCCATATGTATTGCGATATACTGTATTCACCAAATGATTGAGTAGCACTCTTTGGAAATAAGTTATAGTCCCGCATTATTATAACATTCACTTCCTGCTTTTAGTAAACTAGTAATTATGACTTTTGCTTCATAAACTCCGTAATTGGCTCTGTATTAATATATATTAAGGTAATTCAGGTATTGGGTTAAGGGTGTAGAATAAGATCATGCAGAATATTTAGTTTATAAGTACTAATAAACAACCAATATTTCAATAACATGCATGCTAATAAGCTATTATTTATTAGTGAGCACTGGTGCCTAAAATGTTTTGAATTAGATTGGCTGGGATGATTCTGTAGGGGAATGAATAATGCATAACATGTTGTAATGTAAACTACAAATGTGGTTTTGTAAATATAAATGTAAAATCTACACTGCAAAGTCTTTATTGTATAAATAATGCAATAAATGTATTCTTCTACCATATCAGGTGGACTGAAAATAAAACAATTGAGTTCCCCCCCCCCCCCTCAAATAAAACCTTAAGAATTGTATTGTTTAACTCAATATAAACAAGTAGTTTGAACAATCAGCAAAAGTCATATTTTAAGTGTTGTGTAATAAACTACAGCTCGTAATAATTCAAAAGAACATCATCTAAGGTGTCATTTTACAAGTGGCTATTTAAATGAATCCATATTTAATAAATAATCAGCAATATCAGTATATTTTTTTGAGTGTGTGTGCGTGATCTATTCAGAAAGAGGTTGTTTGAAAAGGAAGGCTGTTTCCAGAGCCTCGGCGCTCTTTTCCACAGCACTAGAGAAGGACAAGGGAGAGGGTTGTTAGGATTTCCTGACGGTTTTCAGTTTCTGGTGTCAGAACATTATCTGCCATGTGTCTGCACAATCTCAAGGGCAGGGCGAAAGAAGCCAGGCCCGAGCCAAGAGCACCACTCCCACAGCAGCCCTCGACAAAGAGCTAATGCTAACCAATAAAACACTGGGAAACTACACTGGAAAAAAAATCCAGCTGCCTACAAACTTTTAAGTTAAATCAAAGGAGATTTTATGGTCAACTGAACTTACATAAGATAAAAATATTAAGTTAAACTTTTGTATAACTAAAAAATTGATTAACAAAATAACA